TCTTCCCGAAACTGACGGGGTGTCGGCACACGTCTCCTCGCAATAAAAGCGTCTGCRGCSCAACTCTCGAAYGACTGCCGTCACGTCTCCCAAACGCGCGCCCTTTTTTGAAAATCAAATTAAAGCGAGCGCGCTTAGCACGGACCAAAACCCTCCTGCTACCTTACGAACTCCCCGCGCCAAGACGGGACCCTTGTCGTAGGGACTGGGGGGCAATTGATGAAGGGGAATTTGGCCCGACCTCGCAATCACCCAACACGTGGCAAAAACAAGCAACTCGGGACAGTAGAGCGCCCGAAGAAAACATCGAAAGCAAGTCCAAGCTCACTACTGAGCCCGAACTCCAGACCTTCCTACTAGGGGACCGAGCTCCGCACCAAGAGCCCGAGCTCCCTACTGGGAGTCCGAGCTCCCTACCGAGAACCCGAGCTCCCTGCAAGGAGCACTAACTATATTGGGCCCCAAGCCTCGCAAAGCTATGACCCGAGCTGGCCCATGGCAGCTCGGAACACTCCCCAAACCGAACTCAAGACCTCGCTCACTCCAACACTTCGCTTCCGAAACACCAGGTTGACCAAACGTACCTGACGCCAAGGACGTCTGTATCCAAGGGCGACGCACCTGACTGATTTGGGATCTGACGCCTGACAGCCGCACTTCAAACGGGCTCCAGCTACCACCACCTGCCACCGTCATTACTAGCCGCAGAGACGGCTCCGACAAAAGGAGCAGTGGCGGTTCTGTCTGGCCAGAGGAAATGACATCCGAACTGGTAGGAGTTCAGAAGTAATCATGCCCGATCTGACGGAAGCTTGGAGGTGAGTGCGCGAGGTGGTTATAAAAGGCTCCTACCCCCCAGAAACGAGGTATGCTAACTTTTGCGCTATCTGGTCTATCTTGCCTTTGAAAAACTCTAACTTGAGCTTCGAAGCCCTTACGCCGGGTTCTCCCCGGAGCTTCTCTTCTCCCTCCGTTTAAGATCCCTGCCACCCGGTTCAGAGACAATATCGTTGACAGCTAAGATCGACCGGATTGTGCATCATCAGTATCCAATCTCCCAATATTGGTTAACGATTCTTTCATTTTATGGGTATAGAATCTCTTCCTTCGATTTGGAAGTTACCTTTTATTATCACATATAAAATCGGATTATATTCAGGCTCTATAATTTCTTATTTCATAGTTGAAGTTCCTCTTCTTCCAGTATTTCATTTTGTACAAGTCGCTATATCTGATCATGGTGTCCCGGGATTGAATGTTTATTTCATTTTTGTCTCCTCTTCCCCAAATCCAGCTAGCTTGTTATCTTTCTTGTATGATCATACAACAAATTCTTATGGTGGCCAACCTTCACCCTCAAATTATTAAGCACTGTTTTCAAAATCGGACCGGAAAACCGGGAACCGATCATATGACCGGTTCCATTTTCCTCTAAAACCATTTTTTTCTCAAAATCGTTGATTTTGGTCAGCAAATCGCTTTTTTTCTCAAAATAAAATTTTCAATTTATTTATTTATTTTTTTTATCAGAATAGACTGACCACTCGGGTCGAATGGTCGGACCGTTCGAACCGATAACTGGACCCCTGACCAGTTCGGTCACCGGTTCATTTTTAAAAACCATGTTATTAAGACTGTTTGTTTACGATACAAATATATAACTGGGTAAGTATGCACCCGGTTCAGTTTTGTACACGTTTATTTATGGTGGAAAAATGTTTTGCAAATCGAGTAGATAACTACAAAGTTTGCTTTGAAAAAATCGAAGCAAAATTTGCTCTTATCGACAATCCTTTTCCTCTAGGAGCTTCACATTGCCGGGATCTGAAGAGAACGAGATCCTGGTGAAGGGCGGTGGGCTTGGTGATGGTTTCTCCGACGATCTGCTTGTAGCCAAAATAAATCAGTGACTAGGCTTCAAATTCGGTTTCATCAACTTGTATATTTGGTGGTTCTAAATGTAGATCTAGTAATTAAAATTAGCTGCAAACAGAGACAGTGATATAATTCTGTTCAATAGTTTGAATCTGGATTGCTATAATTGTTATCTTTGTTCGGTTTATTTCCTTCTCTTTTCCTGTTTAATTCTGTTTTTTCTTTTTGGAATTCTGGCATAAAAATTGATTTTGATCTAGCTTAAAGCAGGATCTTTTGAGCTAAAATTTGAGATCCTGTTGAAAATTTCAACCAAGATGTTCTCTATTCCCTTGTTACTTTCACTTTTATTCTTCCTATTTCTTTTTTATTTCAGACCAGAATTCAGACTCAAGTAGGTATTGGAAAATTTCAACCATGTTACTAAACCAGAATTTTTTGCATTTGTAACATTCATACTTGCATTTGCACCTTTACCAAACGCAGCCTCGATAAAAATGATACGAGGCATAGTAACCTTGTTCATAACAAACTTTTCAAAGGTTCTAACTTTTAATTCATATAAGAGCAAGGAAAAATCTATGATGCAGAAAAGATATGATATGAAAAAAGTTTTGATCAATTAAAATCTATTCATGAATTTTGATAAATAACACTTGATACCATATTTGTTATTTCAATTTATTGGTCAGCTGTTTTTCCCATATTATAGTCAAACCCAAAAATCTTTCTACCAAATGGAGATGAATATAGGTGTGATCATTTTCAGCCCGGTCCAGGTCTAGCCTGGGCTTGGTCCGGAATCAGATCCGGAAATTTTAGATCTCCTAGGCCCAATACTTCAAGCCAGGCCCGGGCTCACCCTGCCACAATATAATGATACATAATGTATATATACTTGTAAACATATTTATATATAACATATATTGTATACGGTGTAGATTACACATTACAGTACAACCGTCCCCCCTTCCAGCAAATCCAGAAAAAAAAACATAACTGTTGGAGACACTATTTTTTCTACTCTGGCTGTTGGAGACACTAATGTGTAGAACTGTACATGACGAGTTGGAAAGAAGAGATAATCATACGGTAGGTATGAGCCCAATAACGGAGACAAAGTAATGATGGGAACACAAGCATAAAAAGGAAAAAGCAAGAAAAGCTAAGAGTGGACCTACATAAATAATCAGTATGACCTGATGTATTCCCACAATCTGAACCATTTGGCCAAATCAATCTTCAAGGCGAGACTTAGACCCATTTGATGGTGTTTCCTGATCATTCTATTCCAGAACAAGTGGGGCTAGTTAAAGTTAAAGAGGTGGTCAAAACCAGTTATGGGTCCTGGCCTCCTGGGTAGATTTTGCCTTAGGTATGGTTTATTTGCTAGTTTTCATGGTCCACAAAGGGAGCCTAATGCCGCCTCTACGTCATGGTTTATTTCCTAGTTTTTTGAACTGTTATTGGCCCGGACGGTTGGACTATTCATCCTGATAACCATTCAGGCAATCAGTTCCGTTTCATCCGTAACCTGGTCCTTAGTTAAAAACTGTTGACTTGGTCAATGACCTATTGATCTGAGTGGTCGAACCATTAACTTGAATAATTCGGACAACGGTTTTTTGTCAGTTTTTTTTATTTTTTATTTTTTAAGTTAGAATGAACCCTCTATTCAAACCGGATGGTCGAACCGCTGACCTGGAAACCGGTGGCCAAATCGGGTCCGGTCCCAGGTCGGTTTTAAAACATTACTCCATGAGATGGAAAACTTCAAGTGAGAGCCTTTACTTGAAACTAAAGCACTTCAGAAGCGCGTAATAATTATTAAGAAAAGTCTAATATGTAACAGAAAATGAATATAACACAACAATATTCTTGGTCTTTTATTCCATACAAATCACTCCAAATTAAATGACCAACAAGAGGCAACAAGAATTCTCACAATTTGGATGGATATAAGCTTTTGGCAGCTTTAAGAACCCACATACACATGATCAAACTTCAATCACGGCTTGTGATCAAGACGGTGGTGACTGGATTCAGATGATGCTGCTCCGTCCTCAAGAGCAGGAGGAGGAATCCCCATGGTTGTAACATGCGAACCTTCGCCCACCCTTTCGTTCTTCTTAATTTCTTCTTGTATATGCACATCTTCTTCGACGGATAGTACCACAGTTTGTGCACCATGTGGACCCGGTACTATGGCTTCTTGAATCTTAAGATGTTCATCAACGTTTATAACTTCAGTTTCTTGAATCATCTTCTTTCTCTTCTTCTTAAGAAAGCAACAGAGAGCAGCCGGTAGGAATGCGAGGAAGAAGAGACCACCTAGTGAGACAAACACGACGATTATAACGGTGGAATGGTGTCCTGATGGGGGCGGTGGAGGTGGAACAAAATGAGGAGGTGGTGGAGGTCTTAGTGGAGATGGAGGAGGAAATGAGTGAGGTGGTGGAGGTGGGGTTGAGTGAGGAGGTGGTTTTGCTGCCGGAGGTGGAGTTGGAGGTGGTGGCGGATGGGGTTGGTTGGGTGGTGCCACCTTTGGAGGGGGTGGAGGGGAAAAATATGGGAAACTATTGTAGTTTAGAGTGGGAGCCATACTTCTATATGTGGAAATATTGAATTAATTTGATGAATGATTTGTGTCAAGAGATGGAGAAGATGATAAGTGTGTCCTCTATTTGTACTAGCTAGGTGCCGAGGACTGGACGATCTATGAACTCCCAAGTTTCACGTATACTACTAGTTACTTGATTCACATGCTAAGATTTCCATGGGTTGTCATTGATTGCATTCAAATACACTTCTGAAGCTGCTTCAAGTTTCCCACCAGTTAAATAAACAAATGAATCTGTCTCTGGCTGAAACCTGTACAACATAATTTAGAGAGGAAATGAAAGAAAAAAATTACTAAAGTAATGTTCTTGACAGGAAAATATATAAACCATTTAGGAAGATGGGTTACCAAAATCTTATTTGCCGGCTAAGCTCTCTTGTTTCAGTTATTTGGAGTGATAGCATGGTCATATCCTTACCTTAAAGCAGGTTCTGTTTCCTGCTCACATCAGCAAGCTACAGATGTTGTCACGATTCAAGGAGACTTCAGTCTGGATTATGATAAAAATAATGTTGACACATGGAACCAGTCATGATCAACGTTTAAAGTATATTGATCCCACGATTGTTACACCCATCTGATTATCAACACCCGGATGCATCCATTCCAATTCAAGTACCTTTGAAATTCATTGTTTCTTTCTTTTGTTCTTTTTTTTTTTAATTTTCTTTTCTTTATAATCCATTGCTGTGAGAGGATCAAACACTGGACTTATTACAATACAATCTTCTTTTTCTTTTGAATAGGCATACACCCGAATCAAATCGGATGAGCCAGAGTAAGCCATATAAATCGAACCTGATAGCTAGTCCGATTGATACTAGCAACTGGACCAGGCCAATCCAAGCACCAAGTTGATATAAGTATGTGACACAGGGAGAGATGACATCCCCCAGACCCACCACACAACGCTGAGGAGATGGAGACTCCACCATTCCACCAACGAAATCATCCTCTTCTTCGACCTGAGACTTGCTGCATATGGAAGTGGATCTTGAGGTTTTATGGCAACAAGGTGCCTCCAATGGAGTATCCTTTATTGAACCCCACTCATTTTAAAATTGAATCACAAATTGTTCACCAAATAGGAATGAACCATACACTCTTTCCTGGTAAAATGCCTAGACCATCACCATTCATCCAAATGCAACTGTAAGATTGCAAGAGTCAGCTGCTCAGGTGAGTGGTGACACATCTCCTCCAGAGTCTAGTCACAGATATCAACCCAATAGATACATATTTAATGGATTCGGTGGGTTGGGTCATGGGTTACCAATGGATAACCATTTTAAGTATTCCTTGTCTCACTCTCCCATTCACTCTGCAACTTCTGCCTCTCATCTTGCATTCTTTTTCCTCAATGACAGCAAATTATCTCACCTAAGAAACAGTGCGTAAACCCCCGACTGCATTCTGCATCTCATCTATATCATGTAGATGATATGGTTGTATCCCAAATCGTATGTTATTTTATGACACTAAGTTCTGAAGCTGCTCCTATCTTGACATCATATAAAAGACTAACTCAAGTCATGATCTTTTTAATCAATGACGTGGGTGGGCTACAGTCCGGTTTCCATAAATGAATAATAGCACAATCTCCAAACAATAGCCATTGGAGATAAAGGATCGTGCACTATACCATCAAGTCTGTCTAAATAAAGAACTTTTGTGCATTACTTTGACCTATATGTGCCACATGCATGAGAGCTTACCATGCCGGCATGCCCCATGATTCGTCCTTATAGCCATTGAGTTAGGTTTCACCCATTTGATTTTTATTAAAATGAGTCACTAATAAGTTGGTATGTGAAATAAATGGATTGAAGCCAAAAATGAGTCCTTATAGCTGGCGTGGGGCATTATGATTGGTCCCACAGCTCAAAACACAGCTATGAAGGCTAATCCATTCTCAAGCAGTTAACAGTATGCTTCAAAGACTTTTTTTGAGATTGGATTATCTCAACGCAATAGCTATTCTGCAGGCTGTGAAACCAACCAATAATAACGCTCCGTACCAGTCATAAATTACATGGGGCTCACAATTGTATGTACATTAACGTGTTCAGCTTATCTGAATTACCTTTTTTTTTTTTTCTTTGGTACCACTCAGTTAAATTTGGAGCCTGTTTGGGAGGGCTTCTTTGTTGATTGAAAAGCTTCTGAAAAGCTACCAAAACTAGTTTCACCGGAAAGTCGATTTCTCAGCTCAATGACATTGTTTTTCTGGCTTTCCGGGGTTTCCACCAAACACAGCTTCCTGGCTTTCCATGTGCGTCCTAACTTGCAATGCCAAGCCGCGGCTGCCTGCTGGAAATCCCTCCCAAACGGGCACTCAATCTTATCAACCCGAACCACAAGCACTCAGCCAATGCAACTTAAAAACTTCTGAAAATCCACAAGAGAGCAAAATCAAGTGGTTTATTTGAATATTGATCAAAGGCAGCGCCCTAATCAATAAATACATGCAATATATATATATGTAAAACAAAAGAATAAAAAACATCTTCGTCGATCAAGACTTATTAGATCCAATTCAAGTACCAGGGAAGTTTTAGAAATCAGCAACCTGACCATTTCCTTAATACCCATCCTACTCAAAAATAGCTTAGTTCTTCAAAGTTGTCACATGCCTCAGAAGCATGTGGACGACATCCTGAGAGATCCTTGTAGCTTCTGACTTTAAGTGTTGAATCTTGGCTTGAGTCTCTTTCTCAAGGCGCTTTACATTAGCACCTGAATCCCCGCTAGTCTGTTTGGTGATCACAGTTAAAAAGGAAAGAGAAAATAAAGTAGCTTGAGTTAAGATGAAGAAGACAATTCAGAGTACAATGCAACAAAAAGTTACTGCAGAAAGGTGAACTCAATCAAGGATCAATAATGTTTATCAGTTTATGTATCAAGGTGGAACCTATCAACTCAGATTTTTAAAGGTTGCAAGTCAAAGCGAAAGACTTGATGCAAGGAATGTTCATGGTGAAATAAGCCATGCATGTCCTAGGATTAATCAACCTGTCTGACATAATGACCTCATAAGTAGATACTTATTGGTATTTCATTTTTACCTCTGCCACTTTTTTCTGAAATTCAGCTTCCATGTGACCACGATATTCAGTGATCTCTTTATCAGCTTCATCTTTGGCCTGTTTTAGTCTACCCATTTTTGCTAAAAGCATAAGCCATAATGCACAAGAAACAACGATTAGTATACCTCTCGTGATGCAACTCAAGGTTAATACTTATTACTTAACGTAACAAAATGGCAAAATAATTTTATCCATTCTGCTAGTTGGTCATTTGTGAAGGAGAATACATGATTCAGGAAACTTCCCCTCACCGCCCTCTACTCATGGGAAAAATTTCAGCATAAAGCTCCTTTGTCCTTATGCCAAAGGAAGCCTCTGGCAGAATCTTTATTAAAGAATTGAAATTTTGGACTGCTATTGTAATTCAGGCTCAGTTTGGATAGAGTACAGATACAAATGTGTACAGTGCAAATACATACAAAATATAAGGTTTTGCACTCTACATACAAAATAATTTTATCCAAACTGAGCCTCAGGGAAACTCCAATACAAGGTATAGAGGGGAGTTGGCACATAGCCAATCTAGATGTCCTTATCTCTGGGTGGTTTGAATCAGCCACAGAGTTATACCATGTAGCAAGAAATAGGTAGCGTTGTCTAGTGAACTTCCCTTATCGGCCCAGAATCCCAAATTCCTAATACAGGTTCCAATTTTCCATGGGAAATTCCGCAGCATCTAAATACCTCAATAAAAAGTGGTTTGTGGCAATTACTTGCATCTTGACTTCTCATGGACTACCTTTTTCATCCCACTTGACAGTTTTATATTTCATTCTGCTTCTATAACTGGTATCTGAATTTTGTTCCAAATAAATGATACAATAAATACAACTATTATACCATTTAATAATATTATAACTGATATAGGGTTAAGTACACTGCAGCTCAATGCAGAATTCTGAATTACAACCCCCCATAGTCTACTAGTACCCCCCCATATAAACCGCATCCTGCCTGTGGATTTGGCATCAATCCATGGTCAGGGTGGGGCTAAAAAATTCTGACCTGGACTGATAAGTCATTCTCCCTTCGTTTTTTTGGTATTACATATTGGACTTGACAGGGGATCAAAGGGTGGGGACAGAGCAGGGTGCACATGAAGTCCAGTGACCCTACAGTTAGAGGTGTCAATTGGACTGGATTTGGTCCAACCTGATCCAGTCCAATGTGAGTCCACTTTCATAAAAGTGCTTTTGTAAAAAAGCTTTCGTAAAAGTACTGTTATAAAAGTACTTTCATAAAAGTGCTTTTATAAAAGTACTTCCGTAAAATTGCTTTTGTAAAAGTGATTTCGTAAAAGTTCTTTCATAAAAGTGCTTTCGTAAAAGTGCTTATATAGTACTTCCATAAAAGTGCTTTTGTAAAAGTACTTCTGTAAAATTGCTTTTATAAAAGTACTTCCATAAAAGTTCTTTTGTAAAAGTGATTTCATAAAAGTTCTTTCATGTAAAAGTACTTTTATAAAAGTGCTTTCGTAAAAATGCATTTATAAAATTGCTTCTGTAAAAGTGCTTTCATAAAATTACTTTTATAAAAGTGCTTTTGTAAAAGTGTTTTCGTAAAAGTACTTTCATAAAAGTGATTTTATGCCGACTTCAGTTTTAATCAGTTTCAAATTGGACAAGGGTTTGGCCTCATGATCGAATAATTGAAAATTTGGTTTAGATCCAATTCAGACCAATAAGAACATGGACCAATTTATTTTGGATTGGCCTAATCCAATAATTATAATGGGCCATTCAAATCAAATTTAATAAGGTTTGGATCAGATTGGATCCAATCCAAAACCGGTCGATTGACATCCCTACCTGCAGTTGTGGGTTTGATCCTATGCCATCATATTCAGAGGGATGCCAACTAACCATTCAGCTACTGGGCCATCGGCATAACTGAATTTTCTTTTAAGTTTTGTATTACAACTTTAACTTCAAAATAAATAGCACATTAATTACTCTCATTTATAACATATTTTCACCTCTCATTAGGTTTTGGTACTCCTCCCTTATGCTTTTTTATAGTGAAAGAAAAAAATATATTAAAAATAAAACTGAAGAAGTATAATAGATGGAAGAGGTGACAAGGTAGCACCCCAATACCAGATCTTACAAAACATGACTAATAGAGTTAAAAAAAAAAAAAAAAAATACATTTCATTGCAAGTAAGATTCTGATGCTATCTCCAATGTAGACCAGAAAGCAGATCCAAAGTCCATTGGTTGACATTTGCAAATTCTGGATGTACTTGAATCCACTCAATAACTATATTTCCTATTTATGGGTGTACTCCCTTATGATACACCTTTTATTGATGGAAAAAAAATGGATTTCGTTAAAATACATTTTTTCTACAAAACTGGGGGAAAAGGATAAACAGAGGGCATAGTGAAAGATAAAATAGGTAAACGGTAAACTTTTATAACATTCAAAAGAATTTGATGAATTCAATGTTGATAATAATCTAATTGGTAAACCTTTGTAGTCCTCCAAATGCCACACTTTTTATTAATGGAAAAAAATGGATTTCATTAAAATATATTTTTTCTGCAAAAATGGGGAAGAAGGATAAAAGGAGAGCATAGTGAAAAAAATATATAATAGGTGAACCTTTTATAACATTCAAAAGAATTTGATGAATTCAATCTTGATAGTCATTAGATAGGTAAACCTTTGTGGTCCTCCAAATGCCACATTTGCCATGCCATGCTCCAATTAATACCCAAACCATATCCATGTAACACAAAAATCTAGAAGTGTATAATATTCATTGATGTCTAAGAGATACATGAAACTTTTTTCCAAATAAAAGAAAACAAGTATTCCACATATTATCCAAGTAAGAACAATGACAGCTGATCCTAGTATCCATGTTAACATGTCTAATTCATGCATATAATGTTAAAACCTCTGAATAACTGGAGTTATCTGATATTTATATCTAAACAGTTAAACCTACCAAATAATCAATTAATGCACAGACAGATAAGGGTGCATATAGATAATACTGATGATTATCCAGATATAAATAAGCTATTACCATTTCTGGCAGCATTGACAATGCATTGAGCTTCTTGTTCTGCAGCTAGCAAGAGCTGAATTCCACCTTGGCCCCTGTTGGCATCCATTCTTTCCTGCAATTACTGTAATAAATCCAAACAAGATTAGCATAACCAAAGAGCACATGAGACCAAGAAATGCAACCGTTGCAAAAAGACCATCTTAGTCCAGTTTTGCTGCAAGAGCAATGAAACTAGAATATAATTGGGAAGCAGAATTCCAGCCTGGTCATTTGGTCAAAATCCAACAATCCAGGAATCTTTCACATGTCAAATTAATTGGGAAGGACTCTCATGTTCCTCACCCCACCCTATATTCTTGGAACAAATTTCAACCCAAAAGTCGTTGCTGAACAGGTAAAATAAACTCTTTTTGGGTTTCATTTAAATTAAAATTTGAAAATATGGTGGGTTATATTTAACCAGGAAACAAAACAGCAATACAAAGTAGGGTATACAGCTGATATCAACTGCACAGTGCATATATGACCGATGGTCAGAATCTTTACGTATTAATGAGATGTGATATATTCTGTTGGTCAGACTCTATAATGCTATTTCATAATAAACTAAATAGGGAGTAATCAGTGGCAATCATCATAATATTTCCCCATCTCTACAAAAAAAGAGAGAAGAGAGAGATGATCTCAAAAAGCATAGGGACTCTACAGGATGAAAATCACAAACATTTCATGTTCAGAACGGAAATTGGATCGATTAGCTTACGCATGCAGAGAGAGAGAGAGAGAGAGAGAGAGAAGTTTTTAAGTTACTAAAATAGGTACCTGTCCTAACCCAGCAGTCCCAGCCCATTTAATTGATCCAATAGGTGATTCAACACAATTCCAAAATAAGTGGGTTAAGTGGGGACTTGAGTCAGAAATTGCCACCTCCACTCCTATGAGCTCAACCATCTAAAACAAGGAGAATCTATTACTCTAAAACCAGAGAATTATTAGAAACCTAAGTGCAGATTTTAATAATTAATTCTAATTTTCAAGACCCATGCAAGTGGAATTGCCATTAGGAGTGGAGGACACCAATGTACTTTATGTTCTTCTCTCCCTTTTTGTCCATTCTCAATGTACTTTATGTACTGCCATTTTTCTTTTTATTCAGTTGAAGTAATTGATCTGGAAGAAATACTAGAAAGGTCTTGACAAGTGGTTGGGTCATTTTGGTCCCTGCTCTTTCTTGAACTATACCTATTCTTGGTTCTTGAATTGATAAAGTTCACAATTACCAGTGAAAAAAAAGTAGACTGTGGATTTTTCTTATCTTAAAGTATGCATCTATAATTTCTTTTCTTTTTTCCTTTCTCTTTCCGATTGATAAGACACAACTTCATGGATCTCTGAGTAGATATTTATGACTGAAAAGTAAGGGCAGATGTTACTCAATCTGCATGCTTTTCATCCTTTTTACAACGATTTAATTGGGTAAGATTATGCATGCTTCTAAATTGTGTTTTCATACCAGATGAATACGAATACCTCTCAAGTTTAATCCAGTGTTTCAAGTATTCTGTTTTGTATTAAGATTTCAGTTAGATTTCCCAGAAATGCATTTGACAGGAATGGGATTATGGGCCATGGATATTTAAAGTTGTAATTCTCTTATTTGGTTCTCAGAAACCATGTGAATGAAATTATTCCATTTTGGGTTTCTAATAACACTAAGGCATAAAATATTGTCTAACACGGCAACATTACTTCGAATAATAGCAAACCATTAGGTGATGTAGTATCTTTTTGGATGCAGGTCATTAGGAAAGTGGGTATTCTCTTTATGGGTGGAGAGGAATTTTCCAGGAAAGCATTTATGGGTTTAGAAGAAAAAGAGCAAATTAAAATTCATGATCATAGCTGCAAGGAGCTTGTGTTTGCCAATGGAGAAGATTCTTCAGACAAGCTAGACAAGTAAGGAGTTTGAAGTTGACTTTTTTGAAGCTTATTGTAGCTAAGGTGCTAGTGCTACATAGTAGTGAGTGAAGATTTAGTTTGGAGATTATGGTGTATCAGGTGGTTTCTGGCAGGTCTGTATTTGAGCAAAACTTCATTGCCAAAGCTGTTATTATTCCTTTCTTTATCTTGTTAGGACTTCAACTTTGAATTTAGGTTGTTGTTTGGGTTGAGTGTCAGGGCTGTAGTTTGAGCCGTGATGATAAGATGAGCTCGGATCTCCTACCCACGCCTACCTACGCCTCATTACAGCTGTACATTGAGAATATCTCCCATGTTTGCTTGTTACCATTCATGGGGAGATAATGTGCAGTCCTAGTTCATATGGGTAGGATTCTTGTGGGCAGGATATCTCAATTCTGATAAGATTGGGGATGAACCTGTTCTTTTGGAATTTGAATTTTGCTTGTGTTTTGTGGGTGGGAGATTGTTTCAGTTCTTGTCGGGGCCACAATGCTCATATATTACTTGTATCCTTTTCTTTTTCATTTTACCAAAATTTCATTTATCGTAAAAAAATTTAGCAAGGGTTTTAAGAACATAGTTGATAGTTCTATTCTGTATTAGCATATCAATAAAAAATAAAAAAGAATGAAATAATTTTATTCTGTTATTTGCAAGCCGTTCACTCCCAACCTTGAAAAAAAAGTTCTTATGGAGTATGATCTGATATGAAGGATCTTTCTTCTGAGTATCTGATATGAAGGAATTTGACTATTTCGATCTCGATCTCAATGATACTGATACTGATAAAAGGGAAATAGCATTATTTGGATTTCCAGCAGAAGTTCCCTCTTTTAAGTAATGATACAAAAAAAGCATCCATCGCCCAACATCCACCATCCACCATAGATAAGATGAAACAAGCATACAGAAAAAGATCATATTGATCATATATGTGAAAATAGGAAAAAAGAAAACTCTTTCATCCTTAAAAAGTATTACATAAAGAAATGCGATCATAAATCATACAAGAAAAAAAAAAAACAAAATACGCATCAAAATGGCCATTGAATTGGGGATTTAAAGAAACAATAAATGGCAGATAAAAGAGAAACACAAAGATTGTATCTTTCTTCCGGAAAACTCAAAAAAGGAAAGAACATACCTATGAATTGGAGAAGAATGGTGTATTAGCCGGTCTGCCGGTGTATGACGAATCTGCTTGCTTCTAAGTTCTAAAGTTCTAACTCTTGGATTGGGCATGAAAAGCAGTGGATCCAGTGTTGCTTACGTATCAAGTTTTCAGTGAACGTTGGTGTTTCGTCCTTGTTCATCAGATGGTTGAGGATTGATCAACTGCCCCCGTGGCTTTTGGATCATCAGATGGTTTCGTCTGGCGGTCTGGGTCCACCTTCTAACCCATAGGTCCCACCTATGATCCAGTCTACAACGTACAACTGTCCACTTTTAACCGGTGAACTCGGATTCAGTCCCCACCAAAATCGTGCTTACACAGTCACACCGTCCTAACAGCCCCATGAAAGTAGGAATGGCAACGGGGGGCGGGGCGGGGCGGGGCCGGATCGGTAACCCGTCCCCAACCCCAAATTCAAATGCCCCGCCCCCCTCCGTCATTTTTGTATAATCCGCACGACGACACGTGAGCCGTGTCAGGCCCGTCACGATTGTATAAGCCGTGTTAGGCTTCGGTTTTAGGTCTGCGGGCCAGGCTGGGCCAATAAAGCACGATCGAGCGGATTGTGCCACGTGCGACCAATGTGCCAGCACAACACGATTGAACGGGCCATGCTACTCATGGCCCGCATGCCAGCATGGCCCAGTCTATGGCCCGGCCTAACATGACCTATATATATTATTTATATATTTATATATTTATATATATATATATAATATATTATATTATATAAATTATAATTATATAATCATATATAGTATATAATATATTAATAAAATAAATAATTATTTTTAATTTTATTATACTAATTTATTTAACTATTGTATATATAAGCAATTGTATACATCAAAAATCATATAAAATTAAAATTCTAAAATTTTTTCAATTTTTAAATAAATAGCTTTGATCGGTCCATGACCCAACCTCGCCTAAGGCTTGGCCCATGGAACAGCCCAACCCGTGGCATGACATAGACCTACACGGCTTGGGCCGTGGTCCGTGCTAGGCCGACCCCCCAAGTTATCCTAGATGAGGGCGGCATGGCCTACACTTTGCGCAGGTTGTGTTGTACCGGCTCAACATGGCCCATCGATTAATGATAAAAAAAATCTTAAAATTTTAAGGTTTGGAGAAACCCAAAATCCCATAGAGACAAATCAAATTACCATCTTTACATTATATATAGGGAAAATTCCTGATCAATACCTTGTACTTTGGCTCAAATGGCAATTTGGCCCTCGAACTTTAAAATGTGGCAATCCAGTACCTACCGTTAACTAGTCCATTAATCAGCTGTTAAGTGACATTTGAAAAATCAAACATGCCCTTCAAATGCCATCTAATTCTCTTTATCAACCATCCAAATGTTGACAAAAAATTGAACAACCAAATCCTAACCTCTTCTATTCAAAAAAGTTGGTGAATGTTTAAAAGAATATAGAATAGGCATCTAAAAAATTAAGATTAGCACAAACACCATAGGAAAATTTTGACTCAAGGCTATGTCTAGTTTGAAGGAAAAAGTAGGGAAACCTTTGTAAAAATAGGAAAACCTTTCCCTACCTAAATGATCTTGCCAGGAAAAATTGTGGTTGTTTGGGAAAAAAAATAGCCTGCACTGTTTGGAAATTTTCTCAGCATGACATGTTACCCTGTTCAGTTCTTTGCTTGTCTTTTGGCTAAAAGAATATTGGTCACAATTATTCTTTGCCCCACACCTACGATAATGTGTCATACGCAAGGAGCTACTAAACAGCTCTAACTGCTTTCTCCAAACAGCCAAAGGTTTCGTTTTAATTTTTTTTCCCCTTTTTTTGACTTTCCATGTGCAAAGGTGGACACTATTTTGCTGACCAAACAGTTCCTAAAGAGCAAGAGTTCAAAGAGGATGCAAGAAGTAGCTTCTTGGACACTCTTTTGTTGTCTTGAAATTTTTAATTAAGATTCTGTTTGTTTTCAAACAAATCAGAGAAAAATTTTCATGCCAAATGTGTTAACTATATTTTCCCACTTTTATTATAAAAAAACTTTGTTTTTTTCTTGTGTTTTACATCAAGACAAATTAAAAGGGGCAGAAAAACAAAGTTTCCACCATAAAATAGCTGGAATATTTTAGTCTTAAAATTATTCCATCCATTTTACTTAAAACAAAAAATAGCCGGCCTAAGGAAAGAAGCTAAAAAGGAATTAATTAAATTATTACTTAATAAAAGAGGATGATTATAATAATTGCAATAATTTGTTATGTGAAGCAGTTATGAAGCATTTTGAGTTAAAAGCATCCGATTATCCAAATTTGGTGTTTCAATTGGGTCCAAATTCTAACAAATAACTCAGCGCAACTCAACTAAAACTTTATCTATTTATCTGTTCCAAAGCAATCTATGCCAAAGGATGAACCAAAGAGCCAAAAGTTCCAGTATAACAGTGTTCCAGTTCGATAGCATTGGATGAGTATTGCTTGACCCTAGAGGTGTCAATGGACCGGTTTTTGGTTGAACTCCGTTTAAATTAAAATCAATTTGGATAGATTGAATGGACCAAAAAGACATTGAATTGGATCAGTTCAGATTTAATAGTGTAAAATATTTATTGGATTGGATTGGACCTGGTTCATCTACAATGGATTTATATTGGAATGGGTTAGATTGAACCAATATCTGGTCTAAGGCTTAAAGTATTGATACGTATCAGCCCGTATCAGTTGATATGTATTTGTGCCGGTGGCTTCCTGATATGCTCTTATAGAGATTATATCGAGTCAGCTACTAGTTCAGAGGGTAGTCAGGCCTTAAATCAATCACTCTGAAAAAAAAAGTAAAACATAAAAAAAAAAAAAGCACCGGCACAGGCCAATACGCTGCAGCATAGCGGTCTATGTTGATATTTAGAACCTTGATATGGTCCATTTGATAGAATATAAAAATACAGGTGTCGATGGATTTAGATTAGAGTGAAGTCTATTTATCCCTAATTAAAACTAATTTTAACAAATTGGACCAGACATTGATGTTTTATACGTGGCACTTTTTTATTGGATGTACAGAAAGGTCTTCAGTAACCATTGTGCAAGAAATCCGAAATCCGGACTCCCCTACTTGATCCAACTGCTCCGAATATAGCCAGAGTGTTGTCTTGCCTCCTGGTACCAAAACCGAGTCTTAATACGCACTGAGAATGAATCTACGTGGATACTACACTGATGGTGGGTCGCAATCCTCAGAACATGAGAAAGGCAAGGGCGCCCTTGGCGGCCCATCCACCGATCCTGTGTCGGGATAAGAAGCGACGGCACGTACAGTGGTTGAGACTTGAGATGATGGTCAAAATGTATTTCGCTTCCTTTTCCATCTGTCCCTCGGTTCTGTTTATCAGCAACTTAATTTGATGAAGGAAGATGAACACAATGCAGAAACCTTCCAACCTTTATTCCATCAGATTATTCAAACGAACTTTGTAACAATGAAAATTTTCACAATTTGAAATTATTGAGTACGTACAAATCAATAAATGGTTGAAGATATAGACATTTAATAACCCTTGGACACCATGCACACTAATAATCTGTAGTCAAGCTTTGTGTTATGAGCGGTGATGACTGGAACCAGAAGAGGATGAGGAGACGTCTGAAGCATGAGAAGGGCTCCCCACAGACTTCAGATGCAAACCATGACCGACCTTTTCTTTCTTGATTGCTTCTTGTACATGCACATCCTCCTCAACTTTTAGTACCATTGCTTGTGTGCCATGCGGACCAGGGACAATTGCCTCCTGAACCCTCGTATGTTCGTCAACATTTATGACTTCAGTTTCTTTGCACTTCTTCTTCTTCTTGGCAAAGCAACAGAGACAAGCAGCGAGGAATGCAAGAAAGAGGAGGCCACCAAGTGAAGCACACACAGCAATTACAACTGTGGAATGGTGTCCTGAGGGTGGTGAAGGGACAAGATGATGGGGTGGTGGAGCATATGGATGAGGGGGTGGTGGTGGTGGTGGTTGATAAGAGTGTTGAGGTGGCAGTGAAAAGGGTGGTGGTTGATAAGAGTGGTGTGGAGGTGGTGGTGGTGGACTGTAGGGCTGATGAGGTGGTGCCACCACTGGGGGAGGTGGAGACTTGTAGTAGGCAGGAGGAGGTGGAGACTTGTAGTAGAAAGGAGGTGGTGGAGAAAAGTATGGGAACCCGTAAGACATTTTGTTTTTCTGGTTCTGGACAAATGTAGATGATAATAGATAGATTTGTGTTGAGATGAAGATGGCATGTCTCTCTGTTCTATTTATATGAATTCCCATTATTATTTTATGCATGCACGCATCCTTATAAGGATTAGAAGACTTGATTTCCATGCTAAGGTTTCAAAGAGTTGTCATTGATTGCATTACACTTCTTGATTTCTCCTAATTGTCTCTTTTCCTACGCCTTAAGATACGGAAATTTATTGTTGTATGCTGTAGCCTGTAGGCATGTCAGCGGTCAGCCATGTGTTTAATATGCCTAGCAAAAGAAAAACAAAAACAGAACCTAGCCAGCTAGCGACCTTGATTAGTTTTTAGGGAAAGACGGTGAAAACAATTATTGACAATTTTAATACTAACTTATTAATAGTTTACTGGGATAATGGTCAGAACTTGACAAAAGATTGATAAAGCTATTAGTTCTTCCGAGTTCCGACTGACCATTTTCCACAATTATTTTAGGAGGCATTCTTTTTTTGGATTTTGAGAATGGGGAAATTTACCAAGAATCCCATGTTCATTTTTCAGATTAAATGTGGGGATCAGTGAAAGTTTATTTTCCAGGGTATCACTTACCCATCTCCTGGGTGGGTAGATAATTTTCCCACCTAGGAGAAAAGTTGCTAACATTTGAATGAGACAAAAATGCCCATTTTAATAATGGATTTTTATGACTAAAATGGTCATTACGTTATTTACCTAAGAAATAAAAGAACATGGGTAAATGCACTTACCCGGGTAAGTTTTTCCTTCCCAGGTAATTGCATTTACCCAGGTAAATAACTTACTGAAAAATGAACAGGGCCTTAGAGAACAGAATGGAAATAACATCTACTTAGACTGTGTTTTGTTTGGTAGGAAATAAGAGAAACAGAGTGTTGAAGTTCTCAAGGAATTTTAAAATCTTTGTTTAGTAACATTTCCTCCCTCAACTTTCTGTTTCTCTTATTTCCCACCAAACCAAACAATAACATAGCCTTCATTATTATATGACCACCTTCTTAATGAAAGCTCGGTACTTTCTTAATCATCCTGTTCAGGTCATTGACCCCCTGCAAAGTTTCTTTGTAGATTCTTTAACCTCTTCTGTACAGCTGTTACAATGTGCTGTCCAGTCATTAGATGCAATTGTTTTGACTTAGAGAAAGCAATGAAGATTTTTTTTAAGCTTTCGTATTTGTAGACTCTGGAGGTTCATATTCAGAAACTGGCTAGGGATTTCACTTATTTTTTATTGGGGCTAGAGATTGAACATAGTAAAGGGCAAATAGATGGTATGGTTTTTAGAAGAAATCTGGTTTCAATATTAATATCCAACCCAGAGGCAGACAATTAGCTCTGGATGTTTCATATTCAGAAATTGTTTAGAGATTGAACAATATCATGGTTGTTGGAAGAACTGTGATTTCAATCCAATATTCAGCCCAGAGACAAAATTAAACAAGACAAACAAAATCAACTAACCATCTGCCACAAGGAAAAATTCCATTATACCATTTCAAGGGAAATCTATACACCAAAAAATGGTATGGTACACAATAGCAAGTACAATGCTACAAAAGTTGTACTTTATCTCACTACTTCTGATTGATACAGCCACAAATCCATTATCCAAATCTGGATCAATCATCAGAAAAGTGGGGAAAACAATTTTCTGTACGCTGTAAAATGAATTTAGTGCTTCTTCACACAAGAATTTAGTTATTGAACAATTTCTGTTACAATCAGCTTAAACTCTGGGGTCTTCAACGTACTATATCTCCTCCCAGCTGCCACAGTAAGAAGACAAAAAAATAACAACAAATAAAAAAGGAGAAACATAATATTGTAAATATTTTCATAATAGATAGAATATAAAAAATAAATAAATGGACTATAATATATATTTCCCTAACCCCTAATCTCTACAAAAAAAAAATAATAAAGCAAAATGAGCAACAATTTCACCCAACCAAACACAAAAAGTAATGAAAGAAAAAGAATGCTTATTTAAATATCTAATAGTGGAATTCTCACAGGTAGAGAGAGAAAACTTACATCGGGCTCTTGTTCATTGCAAAGAAAGTCCACCCCCTGCAAGAAGATATGAGAAGATAATCTCATTCCACATATCAGGAACTCCAGGAAGACACCAATGGCTACAGTCAGGCACTGATGGAGTGTCACTCCAAGTGCCTATATGTGCATCACTTCGGTAGGCCCCCATGGGTGTTACATGCAGAACTGTTACAGGAACTTTCATCTTCCGGACCACCTCTGAGATGATAGCTGAAAATGGACTTCTGTCCTTTCCTCTGGTTCTCAACATTGGGCGACGGGTCACCTTGCAAAATCTATGGCTCTGGCCGCTGATAGAAACAAGAACAAGTGCTATGTCAAGAAAAAATATGCTGATATGCACACCTTCCAATGCCTTAATTCAAACCCAATGAAACAGGAAAAATGGATAAAATCATATAAATGAGAAAAATCAAAGATAAATAGCTCCTACAGAGGATGTTTGAAGCAGTATTCCTATTGCACTATTGTTCTGGCCTCATTCATTGAACGGCAAAGATGGTTAGAGGCAAGGTTAAGTCCATAAGGGATTAGGAGTGAAGGAAATTCCAGAAAGCTACTCTGTTGATAAAGAAGTCTTCAGGTGGTCCTTGGCATCTCCATTGCTCAGGGAAGTCCGTGCCTGAGCTTCACATTAAACAACTCGGGGTGCCTATCAGCTGATAGCTTGTCCAATGAGCTAGTCAAATTAAGTTCTGACAGGCAGGAGTTGTGGATCACTCGGGGATAATGGAGTTATATCTCTGATAATTGTTTGGTTGCATTTTTTTTATTCTTTTGCTGTATGCTCCTTTGGTTTTGAGTTTTGTTTGGTTTTGGCTTAATTTGTTTCTTATTTCTTAATAAAGTAGTCCTTATTAAAGAAACTTGCTAGTAAAATATGGCAGTCAATACAGAGAAAACCAATGAAAAGAGTACCTCCAATGAGAGGCTTCAAAGGTCCGAAAGAAGACTTGTGTCCTGTTCATGTTAACCATTGTCTCAACCCATGATGCCCAAGTGTTCAATGCAACTCTGAAGGCATTATTTATTGACATCCCAAGCTTCAATGATTTACCAACCTGGAAATAACAGCCCCTGTCTGGAAACACATGTTAGAAGCATTTTTTTCCTTTACATAAATAACAACAGCACAGAACATACTAACAATATAACCAGTACTAAGAATTTGATTATATATTGCAATTTGCACACAAGGCATTTCCTTCAGAGCCTGATACCATTGCATCAAGCAATGGCCCTATGAGGTAAAATTGCCAAACTCTAATAAAAATTTACATGCATTATCATTTTTGGTATCGCTGTTTGGTTGATGTTGGATTAATTCTAAGGTATTCTCTGTTGTCTTAAGGGCATTCAGGGTGTTCTCTTTCATTTAGGTGGTTACCATGCTCTGGGAGTAATTGTGCTTGATGATTCTGATTGGTGGTTGAGCGGGATGGTTATCTTGAGGCTGGGGAGTGTCCTTTGGTTTCCATTGCATAATGCAGGTTGATGGTTGTCTTGAAGCTGGGGACTTTTGTTTTGTGTTTTTCTGGAACCTCAGGCTCCTTTTCAATACCAATAAAAATAACTATTGGCATTACATAACTATAGTCAAGTGCACAAAGTGGATGAAAGATTAAGCATTCTTGTGATAGGAGTATGGACAACCATGTATTTACTTGTGTCAAGATTTTATATTTACAACAACCTTGAAAGTTTTTATTTTATTTTTTTTATTTCACTTTGATTGCAAGAAATTTTGAAATTTTTACGTGGTTATCAATTTATAGCATGTTATTTTCAATGTTTCTAGTTGTTTGGAAAAAAATAAGAAAAAACTTCTAAATTTTGGAAATTCTGTCATGGGAATACCATTAACAAATTAGTCATTTTTTATAGTAAAAAGAAAATTTTATTAATAGAGAAAAGAAAAAAAAAAACTCTAGAAAAGGGTAACGAGGTAACACCCAAATTACAAATCAACCAAAAACATTCAAAGGTACAATGCTTAAATTTTCAAGCATCTTCCAGAAGTTTTTGAAATGCATAACCCACCTATTCAACCCTCTATAAGATATCTATATTCAGACATAGCATAAAATTTCAGACAAACTTCTAGATATTTTCCTCTTCCTAGTTCCTAAAAGATCTCAAAACCTAAGCTTTAAGGAAGAAGCAACAACATCACAAATTCACAATTTAGGACAAGGAGTAGAGGGGTTTAGAGGCTAAGCTTCAAATCCATGCAGGTCAAGTGTGGTCTTCATGGGAACAGGCGTAGAAATCATGGAATCTAGAATGAAGGACAAACCACTTTTTTCTTCTCTTTCTTTTTCTTTCCTTTCTCTTTCTTTTCCTTTCTTTTCCTTTCCTTTCCTTTTCTTTTTTTTCTTTTTTCTTTTTTTCTTTTGTCTTTTTATATCAGATGTGCATGAGGCGTACGCCTCTAGCACGCCTCATGAAAAAAGCACAAGAGGCATACGCCTCTTGCACCTGAGGTATACACCTCAGAGGTGTCAGCACCTCTGGCATACACCTCAGGGCATTTTCCCATGCCTTTTAAAACACTGGTTGGGACAGGCTAAAATGTAAACTGATTTCTTCTCATGTTGGGAATTTTTCAGTGTTAGTTATTCTGGAACTAGAGGGGGATTCCAAGGACAATTCACTCATGTGTATGGTTCAACTGAGTACTCAGAGAGAGAGAGAGAGAGAGAGACTCTAGAAGGATCTTGCAGATGCCAGAGGTGCGTATTCCATCCCATGGGTGATGGGTGGGGGGATTTCAATGTGGTGAGATTTATGGAAGAAAGAAAGGGAGGAACAAGGAGAACTAGAGAAATGAGAAGGTTTGTGGAGTTTGTGAATCATTTTAAGTTGATGGATCTCGGTCTCAGTTCACCTGGGCAAACAATCAGGCATCCCCGATTTTAGTTAAATTAGTCAGGTTCTTGATTGTCCAGGTTGGGATGATAGTTTTCAAGCACATAAAACAGATGGCTCTCCCACACCATGTCTCAGATCACACCCCTTTACAGTTAGTATGTGGAACTCAGGAGACCAGAAAATGTCCATTCAAGATGGAAAACACTTGGTTTGAAGAGGAAGGGCTGGTCCCCTTACTTTCCACAAAATGGTCAGAATTTCAGTTTGAAGGTACCAACTCATTTATTTTTGCAGAAAAAGATCAATCAAATTAAGGAGTTCCTGAAATTTTGGAGGCTGGAGTTTCAAGGGAGTTCAGATTCAGAAAAAAAAAAAGAAAAGAAAAGAAATGTTTAGAGGTTATCAAGGAAGTGGAGGCAAAGAGCCAGAGTTAAGTGGCTTAAAGCAGGGGTTAAAATTTCCAGCTTTTTCCACAAGATACCAAATGCTAGGAAAAGGAAAAACCATCTGGAGAGGCTGGAATCTGAAGATCAGGTAGGAGAGAATTGGGTGGAAATGCCACTAAGTATTTTTCAGAACTATTCAAGGAAAGTTGGAACAGAAGACCTCTCCCGGTTGACCTCAACTTTAGGAGACTCTCAGAGCTTCAGCAAAGGGAATTGGAAGCCCCCTTTTCAGAGGAAGAAATCTGGCACGTGGTAAAAAAACTTGGAAGTGGACAAGTCACCAGGGCTGGATGGTCTTAACAATCCGTTCTACAAACAGTGTTGGGAGGTGGTAAAAGTGGCCCTGTTAAAGGTTTTTCAGGATTTCCACCAAAATGCAGCCTCGGAAAGAAGCCTAAATGCTACTTTTATCTCCTTAATTCCAAAGGTGGAAGGCACAACTAATATTAAGGACTTTGGACCGATTAGTTTTGTTAAACAATTTTTATAAAATCTTGGCTAAGGTCCTAGCAGAGAGATTAAAGAAGGTTCTAAATACAGTGATAACAAAAAATCAATTTGCTTTTGTGCTGGGTAGACAAATGTTAGACAGTGTTCTAGTGGCAAATGAGCTGATTGATTCAAGGAAAAGGGAGGGGAGGACAGGACTGTTATGTAAACTGGACCTGGAAAAGGCATATGATCATGTTAATTGGAAATGTCTGGATTTTGTATTGGAAAGGATGAATTTTGACCAGAAATGGAGTAATTGGATCAAGGTTTGTATCACCTCTCCAAAGTTTTCAGTTTTAGTGAATGGCCAATTGGCTGGTTTCTTTTAGAGTTCCAGAGGTTTAAGGCACCGGGACCCCATATCCCCCCTCCTTTTCATCTGTGTAATGAAATTCCTGCTATCTTTACTAACCGAGTGGGGGAAGAAGGAGGGGGGGGGGGGTTCAATTACTTCAATTTTCAGATGACACACTCTGCTTCATTGATGCTGATGTGGAACAATTGGAAGTTCTGTTAGTGGTGCTGAGCTGGTTTGAAGTTGTGTCAGGGTTGAAAGTGAACTGGTCAAAGAGTGGACTAATCGCAGTTGGAAGGGTAGAGAATTTAGAAATTTTTGCTGAGGTACTGGCTTGCCAAGTTGGTTTCCTACCTATAATGTATCTTGGCCTCCCAAGATACTGGCTTCTTGGAAAGCCAAGTACTTGTCCTTGGGAGGAAAAATCACTCTCTTAAAGAGCTCACTTTCTAATTTACCCTCTTACTTTCTTTCTCTTTTCCCAATTCCTTCAAAAGTGGCTCAAAAAATAGAAAAACTACAGAGGGACTTCTTATGGAGAGGTTGGGAGGAGGAAAAGAAAATCCACTTGGTAAACTAGGATCAAGTGTGTGCTCCAAAAGAAAAGGGAGGTCTTGGGATTAGAAATCTAAAGACTTTCAATCAGGCCCTATTGAGGAAATGGTTGTGGAGATTTGGGAAAGAAAGGGAAAGCTGGTGGAGAAAATTATTAGCAGTAAAGTTGAATTTTGACGGTAGCAGTGAAGGCAACACAGGACCATCTGGTATTGGAGGTGTGTTCAGAACTGAGGAAGGAAAAATTATTGCCCTATTCTTCGGTCTAATAGAGGTAGGTGATGCTCTAAGAGCTGAAATACTTGCTGTCATGGAAGGAATATGGAAAGGAAGGGATTTGAATATTCACAACTTTCAATTGAGGGTGACTCAAAGTTGGTGATTAGATGGTTGCAAAAGGAAGAGGATGAGGGATGGTGGAAATATATTCATGAGATGAGGAGGATTATAAGGCTTCTCCAAGGGATGGAGGTCACTTTACATTGGGTGAAAAGAGATGCTAATTCTTTTGCTGATTCTTTGACAAAACAAGGGGTGGGAAGAAATCAATTATTTTGGGCTTGTTTGTAACTTGTTCATCTTTTGGAAGAGATAAGAGAGTTTATCTCTCCATTCTCTGCTATGTACAATTCCATCTTTCTTAATGGTTTCAATCAATACAATTTCTGCTATTGATAAAAAAAAAAAGAAATTATTAGCAGTAAAGTATGGTACAGATAGAGGTGACAGGGTAACCATTTTAAATTTCTCCTCTTTGGGATGTTCTCTATAGAAGAAAATTATGGAAGTTGTTCCACTTCTAAATAGAGGATTATCCCTAAAGCTGGGATCTGGTCACAGACTGAAATTCTGGAAGGATAGTTGGTGTAATAGCAGAACTTCAGCCAAGTCCTTTCCCCAGTTATACCAGCTTGCAGAGAATCAGGATGCAATGGTGGCTGAATGCTATGAAATGAGAGACAACAACATTTCCTGGAATCCTTATTTCAGAACACAATTTCAAGATTAGGAAATAGACCAAGTGGTAGAGCTGTTTGAGTTGCTATCCAATCATCCACTGAACCAGATGGAAGAAGATACTTGGACTTGGAACTGGACTGCAGACGGGTTGTTCTCAGTTAACTCTTTTGCCAGAAGTTTAATAATTGGAGACAGAGCTGAGCTTCCTAATGACAAAATCTGGAATCCAATACCCCCCTCTAAAGTAAATATCTTGGTTTGGGCTGTAGTGTTGGATAAAAGCCTTTCTAAAAAGAACTTGATTGGAAGAGGGATTCAGATCCAAGACCTGCAGTGTGTGATGTGTAGACCTGTTAATGGGCCGGGTAGCCCGATGGGCTGGCCCAGCCCCCAGACGGGCTTGAACATGCATTTTTGCCCGCGGGTTTGACCTCGGGCCTAAAAGCCCGAGCCCGACT